CTGCAGTTAACCAAGTGACAGTCTTATCGAGAACTGTTTGCTGTTTTACATCCTAAATTATCAGTTGGTAGTCTCCACTCACCTCAATCTAGAAGTGACTGTTAGTCCCTTTTTTTTCTTCCTTTTTCTTCAGAATCATAAGCACCATTGTTCTTTTTTTTTTTTTTTTTAAGATTTTATTTATTTATTTTTTTCCCCCCAAAGCCCCAGTAGATAGTTGTATGTCATAGCTGCACATCTTCTAGTTGCTGTATGTGGGATTCGGCCTCAGCATGGCCGGAGAAGCGGTGCCTCGGTGCACGCCTGGGATCCGAACCCGGGCCCCCAGCAGCGGAGCGCACGCACTTAACCGCTAAGCCACGGGGCCGGCCCAAGCACCATTGTTCTTTCTTAGTATCTAAATAAGATTGTGGCTGTTGAAGTGGGAGCAGTGAGTACTAGAGGTAACACCATTTTATGGCACATAGGGGGCGTGGTTGAGACGTTACAGTGGTTTGGGGAGCAAATGGGAAAATAGGGTCAGTGGTAGGGGAAATATTAGAAACATGCAGAGTACTGGCAGGTAATTTGTTTTGCAGAAGGCAACACTAAAGATTATTTCGTCAATTGCCCACATTTTAGAAATGAAGAAGCTAAGACTCAGAAACATGAAGCAGCTTGCCTAACATCACACAAGGAATTAGAATGCCTGATTGTGAGTGTGGTCGTTTTTTCATTACCCTTGCTTCTATCTCTCCGCAACTGGACAGGGTAGGGTACTACTAGCCTGTGAGGACAATCATGCTGTCCATTTCCCAGCGTGTCTGGGTAGGGGTGACCCAAGGCCTCCTTCCTTCCAGCTCAGGAATCATGACAGAGATAGTGGTGGAAAAGCTTTCTCAGAGTCCTTTTACCTATCTCCTTTCATCAAGGATAGAAATATTGGCATCCAGTGGCAGCAGGTAAGTCCTAGACTATCATTTGACATAATTGCTACGTGAAGAGGGCATATAGTGGCAGTATGGAGTATACACCCCACTGATATGCTAATTATCTATCCCAGAGCCTCTTCATTCTGCCCTAATCCTTTTATGCCACCGTTTTCGATTCTAATGAAATGTTGGATGTCAAAGTACTTTATGGATTTTACAAAGTACTAATTATATAACATCTTTCCCAGAGACTCAGGGTATGAAAGCTAGTCAATTGGTATGAAGTGGATTTCATTGATGGAGCCTCAGAGTGTTAGATATTTTAAACAAAGTAGAGCATATGACAGTGTTCACACTTTCTGCAGCACTATTGGTTTTGAATGGGGAGCTGGTTCTTTGGAAGGGTCTTTGATGAAGATTCCCTGGAATGTAGTCATTAAACATTTATTGAGTACCTCCTTGTGACACCCAGTAGAGTAGAAGGGAGAGATACAGATAATTATTACACATCATAATAACTGTCATAATAGAGACCCTAGGTACTATGGCAACAAAAAAAGTCGGGCATTTAAAAAAGATTGAGATTAGGATTGAAGGACAGCTTCCTGGAGATGTTGACTTAAGCTAAATTTTAAAGGAAGAATGGAAATGAGCCCATCAGAGCAGAAGTAGAGACGATATTTTAGGTAGGAACAACTGTGCAGAAGCACAGGGTATGAAATAGTGTACTGCTGACCAGGAAACAGCGAGTGGTTGTCACAGTGGAGCGGAAGTGTACATAGAAGTGGGTGAGCTGTGAGATTTGAGGGATAGGCCTGGGCGAGGTTATAAAGGTCTGCTGATCTAAATCCGAAAATTACCTTGAATGCAATAAGGAAAACAGAAGAATTTAAGAATAAGAGGAACTTGATCAGATTACATTTTTTTTAATTGCTTGCCTTTGCACTTCTTTTTAAACTTTCTTTATTGTGGTAAAAAATATATATAATATAAAACTTGCCATTTTAACCATCTTTAAGTGTACAATTCATTGGCGTTAATTACATTCACAATATTGTACAACCGTTACCGCTATTTCCAAAACTTTTTCATTACTCCAATCAGAAACACCGTACCCGTTAAGCAATAATTCTTCATACCCCATTTTCTCAGCCCTTGGTAACCTCTAGCTTATATTCTAGCTCTGTGAACTTGCCTTTTCTAGATATTTCCTATAGGTGGAATCATACAATATTTGTCCTTTTGTGTCTGGCTTATTTCATTTAGCTTGTCTTCAAATTTCATCTAGCATGTATGAGAATTTTGTTTTTTTATGGCTGAATAATATTCCATTGTATATATACTGCACATTTTCTTTATCTGTTCGTCCATTGACAGACACTTAGGTTGTTTCCATATCTTGGCTATTGTAAATAATGCTGCAATGAACATGGCAGGGGGCAGATATCTTTTTGAGTTAGTGTTTTCATTTCCTTTGGATAAATGCCCAAAAGGGGAATTGCTGGATCATATGGTAGTTCTATTTTTAATTTTTTGAGGAATCGCCATACTGTTTTCCCTAGTGGGAATACTAGGGGGCTGAGGATATACCTGGGGGTACATGGATCTAAACACAGTAAAGAGAGGAAGAGAATCCTACCCAAAATGTATGAAGACATGGCTCTGAAGGGGAATGGTATTTCAGAAACCAAAGAAAGAGAGTTTGAGAAAGAGGAAGGCATGAAAAAGTGGCAAATCTGGAGATGTTTTGATTGTATTTGCTTCCAATTTCATTTGTCTTTGGTTGATTTAGGGAGAGGGCCTATGTTTCTTTCAAAGTGCAGTGAAAGTAGTTTTCAAGGAGAGCTTGTACTGTGTTAACATTCGTGTAGTGTAAGATGCTACACTAAGAAAATACATCTAAGTAATGTGAACATTATTAATATTAGAAAGCTTATTAAAATCCATATGTAAAAATATTTTGGCTATAGACCAAATGCCAGCATGGAACAAAAATACAAATAGTAAATTTACTAATTATCTAGGTTTGTGCTGCAAACAAAGAAATGAATTGTTTGATTAACAAGATCATGCCTTTCTTCTACCAGGGACCATTATATAAAATTGTATTTGGATTTTATAAGTTCAACAGGTTTGGATTTCTCCAAGGCCATCAGTCAGTCAGTTCATTTGCTAAAACACCTATAATCAAAACAAAAGCATGATTTGAAACAGCCAAAGTTTACCTTTTGGAATTGAAGTAATGTATATAATACATACACAGAACATTAGGAAGAAAATCATTCAACCTGTATAATTATTTTCTATTTTAGTCTCCAAATATGAAGTCAGACTAGAAAGAGAAAAGAAGCTGACTTAATCTGATCCTCTTTTTTGCTTCGGAGAAACTGTTTAATTTTATGTGCACCAACCTCAGAGCAGACTGACAATGATGAGAGAAATAGCAAGGCATAGTGGAAGACACACCAGCCTGCATAGAAGAAGCTTCACCTGACCTCCCATTAGTTCTATGACCTTGAGCAGTCATTAACCTTACTGGGCCTCAATTCCTTCATCTGTAAAATGGGGATAGTAATTAACTACATGATTCTCAAATATTGTGAGAATCAAATAACATATGTGAAAACGCTTTTGACAGAGTACCATAAATATGAAAGCTATTTAGATAATGAGAAGGAAAAGCACTGCTTGATTAAGGTTTTGTCTTAGTGGTTCTTTTTATTTGGAATATTTATAAGCGACTCTTCATAAATTTCATTAAATTTTCTATAAATAGCGTTATCTTTTTAAGCAGAAAAATATTATTAAAACTCATAAAATAGTTCAGATGAATAAACTAGTTCAAAGGTAGGTCAAATTTTTTTCAAAGCCTGGAAAATGATGATTGTTGAGTCTTTCAAGAGGGAAATTTGGCAAGATGAATCAGAAGCCTTAAAATAGTTATCTATAAATTATACTTCTAGGGGTTTATCCTAGGAGAATAGTCTAATCAAAGATGCATACATCACAATAGTATTAGCTATATTATTAATAACATTGAAAAATTAGAATATTGAAACATCCAATAATAGAAAGTGATTAAAATAAATTATAGTATAGCTAACCGATGGGGTACTATTTAATCATTTCAAATCTTGTTCTCCAAGAATATTTGAAGCTATGGGAAAATATTCATGTTATAGTGTTAAGTGATTAAGACAAGACATGAAAAATTATACACTGTGATCTGAATTTTGTTTATTATATATATATAGAACACATAGAAACATCTACATAAATAGATATAGATAGATTACATACACGCCATGGGTAAGTTAAGTAGTCAGAGCTGCTTTCTGCTGAATTTTTCAAATGCCCCTTCAAAAAATGATACATATTTTCAAAAAACTACTCAGCCTGCATAATTTTTTAATGTGGAAAGTATTCTATCACCATCAGTATATTTCACTTTGGTAGTGGCCTGGCGACTACATTTCTGAATGAATATATATGTACACACACACACACACACGTATGTATGTATATGTATATATAAATATTTATACATATATACACATACATATATACATTTAGTATATTCTGCTAGGGAATATATTAATGTGAAAATTAGTATTATTGGCCAGTGACCAGAGTTTCCAGTTTTCAATAATATTTCATATCATCTTGATGGTTTTTTAGGCAAAATGAAATCCTTTTGATTAAAGGTCTGAAATTCTTAAGCTATTTTAATACAGCAATTATAAAATTTTTGGTTAAGCCATAAATTGTTTTAAAAATAACTTTATTTCTATGAAAATTATACTTTTTCTAAAGACTGGCATGGGATAATTTCTAAGTAGAGCACCAATTATTATTCATTGTCAGTTAATGTAGTTTTTGTTACCTGAAGGGGCTGATGTGCTTGTAGGAGAACAGCTCGTGTAGACAGTAGCAATCATTTCAGGTCGTTAGGAGCTCAGGGTAGCATTTATAACTAAAGACTTAATAGGAATTAGAATGATTGGACTTAACCTCACATTTATTTTTCTGTCAAGAATTACAGAAAATCTGTTTCATGTAGTTTGATATTTTATCCTGCTTTTTTGTAGAATGGAAGATGGTGAACAACAAGTAAAAATGAAGTCCTTCAGGTATATTGAAGTGTTGAGATGGTACATGGTGGGTGGAAGAGGTCGCACATGCAAACCTTTAGCCAAAGCAAACAGTGATGTCAAGACAGAATGGATTCATGAATATTAGGTTTTTCTCACATGTTATGCTCTGAGAAGTGGTGATTATCAGTTACTTTTTACCTTTCTTCTCTATCTCCTTGCATAACATTTTGGCTTATGTGTCTTTACGTTTTTCTTAGAATAGCTGTTTATTAAAAACTATTATTTTCTTTAAGCACTAGAGAAAATCTGATTCATGCTATAAACAAATCAGAATTACTTATGAGGAGCATCTGATTATTAGGAATTCATCATCACAAATTCTGTCAATTGTTTCAACATATGTATTCTTTCAACATCAACAAAATTTTTTTCTACATCTGGCAACATGGCCAGATTTCAGTTTTGCTTTTTCTCCATTTATTCTGCTTTTTGCTATGATTCTGCACAACACTGACATGGCAGTAACAGTATACAGAAGTAAGAGCCAGAGCCCTGATAAATTATTAAGCGGAGAACTAGCCTCTGGATAAATGTCTTTCCTTAAGAAAATCATCCAGGAGGGGGCTGGCCTGGTGGCACAAGCGGTTAAGTGCACGCGCTCCGCTGCGGTGGCCCGGGGTTCACCGGTTCGGATCCCGGGCGCGCACCGACACACCACTTGTCAGGCCATGCTGTGGCGGCGTCCCATATAAAGTAGAGGAAGATGGGCATGGATGTTAGCCCAGGGCCAGTCTTCCTCAGCAAAAAAAGAGGAGGATTGGCAGATGTTAGCTCAGGGCTGATCTTGCTCACAAAAAAAAAAAAAGAAAGAAAATCATCCAGGAATCTTTCCAGGTGTACCTCCTTCAAGTAAAGTACCTTATTCAGAAACTAGCTATTTCACCTTCCTCTGTGTTTCCTCACTCCCACCATCATCATTCATTGTTCTCCACAGTGGCCTATTCCCACCTTGTTCTCCCCTCCCTCCAAACCCTAGCTCTGAGAGAGGGCACCCCTTCTGCTGAACATTCCTGTAATCAGGCATCTCTGTCTATTGCTATTGTCCATGCTAACAGGTAATACTGTTAGAAAGAAGAGTTGATCGTTTTAGCAAGAGGATAACTACAACATTTTTAATCAGAAAATTTTAATCTAAATATTGCTCATGAATAGATCAAAGTATGAGTAGATAACTAAGTTTTATGTATATACACATCTCATTTGAATTCCATCCAGTTTACCCAAAAGTACATATTTTGTTTCAAGAGTGGCATTGTCCAAAAGTGAATGGTTGGGGGTGGGGAGTGTTAGCTCCATCACTGCTTCTCTCCCTTCCCCCAACTCTTTCATCTAATTAAAGTCTCTGTAAAAACAGATCAGGGCAAATCTCCTTCCTCTCCTCTTTCCCATTAGATTGCCTCCCTCAGACTCTTCTTATCTAGAAATTCTGGAGTTGCCATTGTCTGAGTGTTGTCGGAGAAAGAGACTAACGTTTATAATGAAGTGTAAAAAGTAAATAGCCTAATTCTTGAAATCTAAGATGTACATTTCCCCCCCTACATTTTATCATCTGTGAAAAATGTCTTATCAGCAATGGCATCTTCCTGTTAATTGGCAGCATTTTTCTTTCCTTGTGATGCATTAAATAATAGTGCATCTTACAACTGATGGTGTCTTAGAGTGGATGAAACATGGTCACAGTCTATAAGATATGAGGTGGCTGAGTCAGGGAAGTGATTAATCAAAGAAAGCTTCTCAGGAGAATAACTGAGCTGGGTTTTGCAGAAAAAATAGGATTTTTCTAAGACTATAGGAGGACATTTTAAGCCTAGTAATGAGCAAGGCATAGAGGGGATGTGAGACGAATTGGCATGTTTGAGGACTTGTTTGGCATTGCTGTTGTGTAACATTTGGAGCTGTAGGAAAAAGACATGGAAAGATGAAACTGGAGATGAAGGCATGAGCCAGGTCACAAGAACCTCGGGATGACATTGTTGAGTCTGACCTTTCCTCTTAGGCCACAGAAATGCATTTTATTTTTTAAGCATTGAGATTAGAAGATTTGTTTTCGAATGGTAATTCTGGAAGTTTGGGTAGGATAGATCACTGGAAGAGGAAGACACTAGAGGAAGGATTATCAGATTAAAAGGCTTTTTGGGGTAGTGGGCAATGATCTATCATAAGGGCCTGAATTAAGGTGGTGACAGAGTGGATGGAGAGGAGAAGACATATTTAAGAAATATTTTAACTAGAATTTGTAGGAGTTTGTGATTATGTGGTTCTTCAGAGTGAAGAAGGAGGAATGGTCTGGAATGAGTCTAGTGGTGTCACCAACCAAGATAAACTATATAGAGTAAACTAGGAATAGTGGAGAAAGGAGAATTAAAATGGGTGAAATTACAGAGAATGCATTCAATTTGGGATTTCTTGAGTTTTAGGGTGCTTGTGAATCATTTAAGTGCATAATTCTAGTTCTGAAGGTCGGGAATTGGATGAAGTATGAATGAGATAGGGATTTAAGAGTAAGTAGCTTATGAGTTGTTGTAAAGTCTTAAGAGAGAAGGAGATCTCTTAGGGTGAAGCTGTAGGGTGAGGAAAGAGTGGTGCCAAGTAGAGAATCTTGGGGGACACCACTATTTAAGGATAGAGGAAGAGTTGAGTAAGGAGGCTAAGGGGACTGAGCTGAGCAGGGAGGATGGAGGAACAGGAGAGGTCACAGGGCCCAGGAGAAGAACGAAGAATGTCAGCGGTGTCAAATTCAAGGCAGGGATCAGCCAGGGATTGCGTAAGATAAGGATGAACTCTGCTAGAATAGTTTTAGTGGAGCCGGGGTTGTGGAAGATTGATTGCAGTAGATGGAGGAGTACCTGGGAAATGAAACATAGAGTGGAGACCACACTCTTTCAGGAAGCTGGCCAAAGAGGAAAGACAGTAGCAAGGAAAAAAAAAAAAAAAAAAACAACCCTAGAATTAGAGAAAGGGTTTTCTTCAGAGGAAAGAGACTTGAGCATATTTATAGACCCATGAGAAGGAGCTGTGAAAGAGAAAGAGAATGAGGTTCAGATGCTGACAACTTTTTAAGCAAATACCAGAGAGGAGTTAGCTTTGAATATAAGGCTGCCCATCTCTTCCTCCAAGACTGGGGGGATGTTAAACCATCCATCGTGACTCTCAGACAGCTGTCTTGGTTCCTGAAGGTTTCAGGAAATAAGGGAGGGAGGGAAGAGCAGGGGTAGCAGGTGGGAGTGAAAGCAGTGTGAATGCGGCCATTCCTGCCCCCAGCAGCTCCTTCCTCTTCCGGGAATGGCAACTGCAGGGCCAAAGTTGGGAGAAAGCAAGCGTGGGCTTGCTGGCCTCTGCACGTGATCCAGCTAGTGCCTCGGGGGTAACTGTGGGTCTGCTGAATGTTGATATAAAGGGGGTTCTTCTTCCTTCTTAGGGAAGCTCATAGCCAGACTGAAAAGCGGAGGCGAGATAAAATGAATAACTTGATTGAAGAACTGTCTGCAATGATCCCTCAGTGCAATCCCGTGGCACGCAAACTGGACAAACTCACAGTTTTAAGAATGGCTGTGCAACACTTGAAATCTTTAAAAGGTGAGTTTTAAATCCATGCTTGGATTTGTGAAGTCTTCTGTGTAAGAATTGAGGTCCCTGCTTGGTTTGTTTTGCTGGTATTGGCTATTGAGATTCTGTACAAATGTGTCTTTCAGCTTTGTAGGCATTAATTTTGATGCTTGCCCATATTCTGTATGTGGAGAGAGTACTAATTTGGATGTCAGAAAACTTGGTTTCACTAAAAGCTTTATCTTAAGCTTACTATGTGAACTTGAGAAGACTTTGTATTTCTACTTGTTTTCTCATGTATCACATGAAGATAATAATACTTGCTGTACATACCTCTCAATATTTTAGAAGTTCTGAACTGTAATATTATTATAATTTTAGGTTATTTGCAGATTTCCATTCTTAGAAAAGAAAATCTCCTTAAATTCAGCAATTTCTCTTAAAACTTCAGATTTATAAATAGTGCCATAAAATGCATCACACCTTACTATTCTAAGGTCTTCTCACTATGGAGACATTGAGTGAATGAGGTCCATAGCCATTGCTTCTTGGAGTGTGCATGATCATTTCTGACTTTAGCAGTTCCCCAACTTGAGCTTGAATTTTAAATCAAAGTGTATTAAATATGCATGTTTATACATATACTCAAAATCACAACTGGTTTGGGAATAACCCCAGTGCAACTTAGGGGGCAGGATGATGGAAATAGAATTGAGTTTTAGATATACGAATGTTAATGACATAAATTTATATTGAGAAGACCGGAAGACCTGGCAGAGGAGTGAGCTGCAGAACACAGAGGAGACTCTGAAAGTTCAGATTTGTCAAGATCTAAAAAGATTGTAGTGAAATTTGGCTCAAAAAGTATCAAAAAGGAATGAGCAAAGGATGACCAAGGGTCTTATTTAGATCTCTGTCCTACACTGCATGTCAGGAGAAGGAAAATCTATTCCAGAGAAAAGAAAGTTATGGTGAGAATCCAGGGACTTTGCCAAGTCAAGTTAATGTGGCTTAGAGGAGAGCAGTGTTTACCTGGACTCCAGGTACAAATCGGAGCCCAAAGAGAACCTTACTTCATGATGAACAAAATAATCCTGGGAAATCCATTCAGATTGGAGGAGGTAGCAGAGGGGGGAGCATATACTATAAATTAGGAAGTAAAACTAGAGATAGCTATTAAAGGCCTATTTAATAGTAACTTGTGCAAGTTGTAAAAATAATTACTTTAAATGACCTTGTTTAGATCTCCACAGATGGTAGAAAAATGGCTTATGCCCAGCCAGCTGACTGTGCGCAGATCTCGAGAGTAAGCAGTAGGGAAAATAAAGTACAACCCTCGGTCCATCCCTTCAATGCCACGCAGAGCAGCACAAGTGTTGGGATTCTGCCTGGCGGGCTTCCCTTTGGGAGCATGATTGGAGGTCTTATTTTCCTAATAGTCTATTGGGAAATAAGATTCTCTTTTACCCACAACAGGGTCTTGCATAAGTTGTATACAATATTTCCCTTGGATCTTTTAGCGATGAATATTTGCAGGCTCAAGTGAGGTTGTTTGATTGCAATCCTAAAATTACCCAACAGTTTTTACATTTGCAATGTCCTGAGAGTGGAGGACCTGAGGGAAAAGCCATGAGTCAATCAACTAATTCAACACACATGAACTGAGCATCAATTAGGCTCCTGTTCTGTGCTGGGGATATGCAAATGAAAGAGGCAAGATCTTTGCGCTCTAGGGCCTCACAGTAGACAAGGAGACAGACCCATGAAGAGATCATTAAACCCAGTGTGATAAATGTTCCAGTGGAAGTCTGAATGAGAGGAGAGGCAAGGGAAGCTCTGTAGGGAGGAGACAGTGTCGAAATCCAGAGGGGATTCCTTGGACAGAGCATGGATTTCGCCATTGGCCCTTCTCAGCTGAAGTGAGGTGGTCACTCATCACACATCCTGGCCTGACTCTAGTCAGTGCTGCCCACAAGTGAGATGACCTAAAGCAGCTGGGTCTGCATTCCAGTGCACTCACTGGAATGTACCCCCAACTCGCTCCACAAAAGCCTAGACGCTGGATTGTCAGAGGGCTGCCTGTGGATCGTGTTCTTTTGGTCCACACATAATGAAAGACAGAACGATGGTGTTTTTTTCACTACACTCCACAGTGCTTCTCAGACTATCTGGGTGAAGGACAAGTGTTCCCCACCATGTGTTGTACAATACAATACAGTTAATTAGTGGAAAATGATCCTGGGCTGGGATGCCACAACAGTATTACATTACTATAAAAGTGTCTAAATACTTATTCTTTTTTTTTGGTGAGGAAGATTGTCCCTGAGCTAACATCTGTGCCAGTCTTCCTCTATTTTGTATATGGGATGCTGCCACAGCATGGCTTGATGGGCGGTGTGTAAGTCCATGCCCAGGATCCAAACCCATGAACCCCAGGCCGCGGAAGCAGAGCATGCGAACTTAACCACGATGCCACCGGGGCGGCCTCCTAAATGCTTATTCTTAATTTCTGTACTCCTCTCACCATAGCTTGGTGATGATGGTCTGCAGACCACATTTGGAGTAGCCCTGCTCTGCAGCAAGCACCTTCAGAGAACCTGTGGGCATTCTGTGTGTGCAGTCTTAATACTGGGAACAGTAGAGCACAGTGGTGCAGGCGTGTAGATCCTGGAGGCAAACCTCCTGGGTTCAAATCCTGCCTCCCTGACTTAATAGCTGTGTGATTTCCCCAAGTTATTTAACATTCTAATCTTCAACTTCCACATCTATAAAATAGGGACAATGCATTTGCCTTATAGGGTGGTTGTTAAGAGCAAAGAATAATGCATATATGGTATCACTTATATGTGGAATCTCAAAAAAAAAAAAAAAAGGCAAACTAATAGAAACAAAGAGTATAAAAGTGGTTGCCAGGGGCGGGGGGGGGGGGGGGGGAGGGGGGGGGGGGGAAATAGGGAGAGGTTGGTAATAGGATACAAACTTTCAGCTATAAGTTGAATAAGTTCTGTGGACCTAATGTATAGCATAGTAACTGTGGTTGATAACACTATATTGTATAATTGAAATTTGCTAAGAGTAGAACTTAAGTGTTACCAAAAAAAAGAGATAAATATTTGAAGTGATGGATGTTAATTAACTAGATGGGGGGAAACCTTTCACGATGTATATGTGTATCAAATCACCACGATATACTCTTTCAATATCTTACCATTTTATTTGTCAATTATACCTCAATAGAGCTGAAAAAAAAAGAGGAATGCATATAATGGTGATGGTGAAGATAAGAGGAGGAGGAGGAGTATAACTCCTGGAATAGTAGTTATTGTCATTTTGATCATTATTATCACATTGTCATTTTTTTAACCTGATGAACACTGTAATGAAAGTGATGTTTCCTCGTTTATTTTTGCCATCAGAAATCTGCGAGTCAAATATGTTGCCCCCCTTTGGCAGGTGTACAGAACATCACAGCACGTATTTTATCAGCCACCCTCACCCTGGCTTTAGCTCTACCCATACTGCCCTCTTTTTCTCGTAGCACGTCCTCCCTCACTCACCTGATCAGGGCTCGCCCATCCTGGCTGATTCACACTGATAGGATTTCCCCGAGTGCTTCTGCCAACCTTGCTTCCAGACAGGCCTGGAAACGTCACTGCCTTGTTCACATTGATTGATTGCTGTACCCTGGCCGTTACAGTCTGCATCTTGCAGCCCTCTCTCAACTCCCTCTTACCAGGCTATTGTGTAGTAATAACAACGTGAGTAATAAGTAACAACATCAAGAAATCATTTGGGAAAATTCTTTGAGGCCTACCTAGAAGGTAGATTCCAAAAGAGAAGGTTTTCTTTTGCTTATGCCAGGCTCTTAGGGGTGCTACCAGCTGAGAAAACTTTACCAAATCATACCATGTGGTGTTTTTGGTTTTCTGGGTTTGTTTTATCCCCCACCACTTAGGTTATTGGTGAGTTTGGGACACAGATCCATCCAAGGGCCAGTTTATGGTTAAAATGTCTCAGGATGTTACCCTCACCTTTCTTTTGCAAAAGCAACTTTGCTTGCGGTGCCCAGGAGGAGGGGGTTGGGGTTAGGGAGTTTGGGAAGTAGAAGGGAGGGTAAGTGATGTACCTCAAATTCACCCCTTCCTGTAGATTGTCTGGGGTTGGCCCACCTTGGCTTGTCCCCTGCGCCCCCTTGTGGCCATGAAGGGCTTTCCCCTGTCAAGGTTGGGGGATGCCCTCAAAGCAAATGTAGTTTTGGTGCTTTCCTGACTTCTCTCAGGTCAAACTTTTACCGAGTTTTGACCTGATAATTTCTTATCATTTGGATAAAGCTCTTTGGTTGCTTTAGAGACTGTCATTTTAAAACAATCAGCTCAGTGCTAAGGGCTTGAAATGAATTATTTCATTTATTTTTTATACATTTTGGTATATTATCAGAACAGAAGTCTCCACATGATCTTTAAAGGGTCATATGAAAAATCCTATGAATCCATAAAGTTTGGAATTCCAGGATCTCCCCAATCAGGGTAATTCATATGATCAGTTTTATTAAGCTAATAAATTATAAAAATAACTATATAGGGCCGGCTCTGTGGCTTGGTGGTTAAGTGCGCGCGCTCTGATGCTGGCGGCCCGGGTTCGGATCCCGGGAGCGCCCGGAGGCACCACTTCTCCGTCCAACGCGAGGCCGAGTCCCGCGTACAGCAACTAGAAGGATGTGAACCTATGACATACAACTGTCTACTGGGGCTTTGGGGGGAAAAAGCTGAATAAATAAATAAAATCTTTAAAAATAACTATATAGATTGTTGAATACTGTTGCATATCATATATTGCATTTTTTTATAATTTTATTTTTTTATGTATAGCTATTACTGTATGCACATTAGAGTATAAAGGAATAAGTAGTTTCAAGGATTTACAATATAAAAGCAGGAAATTGTAATCTAGTAATAATGAAAAAAGAGAATGATTGCAGGGGAAGTCTTAAAGTGTGCTAAAAGAGAAAATACCATCATCATCGTCATTGTCCCCAATAGCAGCAGCAGCATGCTAATGTTCATTGAGCACTTACTACGTTTCCATCTCTACTATATTTTTAATAACTTTGACTTTTATTTTTAGGTATGACAAATTCTCATGCGGGACATACTTATAGACCCTCATTTATTCAGGATAATGAGCTCAGACACTTAATCCTGAAGGTAAGTAAAGAGATATATTTGTTTCAGTTGTATTTGTCCTGTCATTTTTATTTCTATGGGAGGCAGATTTTCTTCAGTTTGCTTGCGTTAGAAAGATACAGGACTCTATTATACCGAACTTCTTTTAGTATAAAAATTTAAGTTATACAAGTAACCATATCTTATTAGTTTCAAGTAATGAAAGTAGAGGCAGAGGATAGCCACTTTCCAAAATATGGAGCAAAGCTCATCTTTAATGCTAAGCTCCTTACGCTGTCTAATGCACTCATCTCCGATACCGTAGGATCTATTCCCTGCTATTACTACCTCCTTCAAAGCATCTACCTTGTATCCTATTCCTTCAGGATCCTGTTCTCTGCAGATTAGCCAATCACTGCTGACTTAATGAGTTGTTAATTGATGCTTTGACATTTCTGTCCTCGTCATTTCATACATATTGGTTTTCTCATTCACTGGTCTAGAAGTTTATTTGACATGGAAAATATACCGATGTCATCGGCTTATCCTGCCCCCAGGAGGTAGTAAGTGTCTTGATCTTGTGCTCTGACTACTATTGGGCTTTAAGCCATAGATTAAATAGAAAGATTCTTGATATATATTTTTGTCCATTTTTCTTTTAATTTTTTTAAAAGCCACTTTTTTTATTTGAACAGCTGTATTCAAATATAGTATTCCCCAGAGGAATATAAGGGATTTTTTGCAAATAAGATTTTTAAAGATACAAAAGGCACAGTATGCTTTGGGAGCTTTCTCACCCATCTTGAAGTGTTTTTTCACTCCTAACTTAATATAACCCTGGTTCTGCCCTGTAGAACATGTCGGCCTAATTTACCTCATGTTTGTTTCCAATTGGTAAAAAATGAGTTGAAGGAAATGTCAGGTGGGATTGCCAGACTCATCCCATGTGTCCGCACATATCCATTTCCATACAGGTTGCTTCAGAGGATGTACTAGGTAGATCTTTGGGGAGTAGCTGATAAGTTAGAATTTTTTAAATTTAGTTTTGAATGAGTGATACCTTATTATTATTCCAAAAGTATAAAAAGGTATACAGTAGAATGTCTTCATCCCTTCCTGGTCCCCAGTCTACATAGTCCTCCCATCTCAGCACATCCACAGGCAATCGTTGGTGATGTGTTTTAATCTCTTAGAGTTTCTGTATGCAGTATAGAATTTGGTATAGGTAATTTTTATATTAGGAAATATCTCAACTAAATCTTCCATGGCTGAACTTTCCATGTCAAAAACATTAGTTTAGACTAGGGTTCAATTTGATGTTCTTTATCAATCCTTTTGTATCTTAAGAAGATTTCTTAAAATTAATTTTACTAGCTCTATGACCACCGTATTAGTTTTATTGCTACCATAATTTCCTCAAAATCTGAATGTGTGTGTGTGTGGGAGAGACAGAAAATTTTTTTAAATATTCACTTGCATATTTTTAAATCCTAGACTGCAGAAGGCTTCCTACTTGTGGTTGGATGTGAAAGAGGAAAAATTCTCTTCGTTTCTAAATCAGTCTCCAAAATACTTAATTATGATCAGGTATCCAAAACTGAGGATATTTTCTATATTATGTTTAATTTTTTTGAACAAACACATTTCAAAGCTTTTTCTCTGAACCCTTTCTTCCCATTGGGTTGTGGGATTAGGTTCTGCTAAATTAGAACTCTAAGAGAGATGGAAAGATGTGTGGAAAGAGTATGGATTTTTATGACTGACAATAGTGTTCATTTCCTGACCTTCAGTAAGTTATATTTTATTTACCTGAGCCTCATTTTTCTCCTAGGTAAAAAGTGGAAAGGATGATTATACCTGTCTCTCAGGATGTAAAAACTAAATAAGGCATCATAGCGGCTGGGCCCGTGGCATAGTGGTTAAGTTTGGCACGCTTCACTTCGGTGGCCCAGGTTCGCGAGTTCAGATCCTGGGCGTGGACCTACAGACCACTTGTCGGCCATGCTGAGGCAGTGTCCCACATACAAAATAGAGGAAGATTGGCACAGATGTTAGCTCAGGGCTAATCTTCCTTAAACAAAAAAAAAAAAAGAGGAAGATTGGCAACAGATGTTACCTCAGAGTGAGTCTTCCTCACCAAAAAAACCCAAAAAAACCTAAATAGGGCATCATATTTGAGAGTCTCTGAAAAATGTTAGTCACCTTTCTCTGTTCCTTCTAAGAGACAGCATTATTATTTACTATTAAGTTATATGCATTGCATAACAGCTTTTGATCTAATCTCTGGCAACAAATTCTGAAATACGTCTCTTATTTAACTAGCTTTGTGATTGCTTTATCTCCTCATTACTGAACACTATTTAATTTAAACTAGTTACTCAAAAACTATAGCACTGAAAGTAATCCAACAGAGTAAATAAAATAGCACCTGTGGTCTCTTTTAAACTAGAAATCAGATAGCCCACAGCTTTAATCTTAAATAACTCCCATTAATTAAAGCCTATATTCCCCTAAAACTTGAAAACTTGGAGAGATATAAGGCATTCATAGATAATGAGTTAAAAAACAGGAAAACATATGATGAGCCTATGTACAGAAAGAATGAGAACCAAATGAATCATGCAGCTGGTTATAGCTGGGGACGCAAAAGCAGGGCAAGACTGAATTATTCTATCTTCTAATTGGAGATAGAGATCATCTCACACACTAAGATGATTAACAATTCAAGGTAGCACTGAAGTTCCAAATTAGTGACAGGCAGTCCAGTCCCACTGGGCACTGACTTTGCATTTCAGAGACCATTTGAGAGACTCATTGACTGCTCAGGAGGACTTTGGGATCCCCGTGATGCAGGGTCTGGGCCTCAGCTTTTCAGATTTAGAAACCTGATTTGCTCTGAAGCCAAGTTCTGGATGTAAACTTATATTAACCAATAACACAGTAGACTGATATATAAATCACATTGCTGGTGTTTTTGGTATGATGTCTCTAACTGCCAAGCAGTGCGGCTACTTGTATCAGCTGGTCCATTTGTTCTGTCTTCTATAGGAATGTCTACTCTGGTAATAAAGGACTTCAGAAGAGGGGTGATCACTGTGGGTCAGGAAGGGCTTCACACATGAAGTAGAATGTCTGCTAGGCTTTAAGATGAGCAGAGAAGGGGAGGAAGACATTTTAAGTTGGGCGAGGGAATCTAGGGAGTTTTTTGAAAATTGGCTGGAGTGGCCTGGGAATTGAGCTTGTAGAGAAGGGGTAATAAATTCCAGGTGATGAGACCATACAAAGAAAGGCATAGACCTAGGAACACTGTGCCTATTGGGGGAAGCGGAATGGGAAGTGGGAGATGTTTTTCAATGGTATGGTGATTTTTTTTTTTTCTAGCAATATGGCAAGTCTCTGAGTCACACCATAAAGTCACAGATACTGTGACTTCCATATTATACTATAATATACTCTCTTTGTTTTTACCAAAGATAAGTTTAAAGTAAATCAGAGTATGATTTAGAAGTTACATATGTGAATTGGGGGATGTCAACAAGAGTAACAAGAGTTAACAGAATATCAGTGATTGGATGTTTGTATGTGGTTTGTGTGCATCCAGATATGGGTCTGTGCACGTGTATCTTTCTATCTACGAGTATCACCTGCTTTTAACACTAAGTTAATGTCACGTAGTGTAGCAGATGTAACTTCGAGCTTAAGAAAATGCAGCTTTAACAAAAAAGAATAATTATCATATGTCTGTATGAGGAAGTGTAGAGAAATCACGGACCTGATGTTAAATGAACGTCTGTCTTATAAACAGGCTAGTTTGACTGGACAAAGCTTATTTGACTTTTTACACCCAAAAGATGTTGCCAAAGTAAAGGAACAGCTTTCTTCTGCTGATGTCTCACCAAGAGAGAAGCTAATAGGTGCCAAAAGTAAGTGTTCATTTCAGCGTGCTTACCATTTTATGTAAATATAATTATTACTTAAAAGTACAGCTATACAGTGTTTTGCAAAGTTAGGTAAATATGGTTTTATCAGGAGAAGGATTATTTAGTAAACTTTAAAATCCTCAACCTATTGTTTTTTTAAACTATAGAGAATTTATGTATTCATACACACATATAAAAATAAATGTATTCATATGAAGATGGCCTGGGAAAAATGTGATTGCTTCATATTCGCTATTTTTCATATGCTAATTAAATCTTGACAAGCAAGTATCATTTGGAATAAAAAACATTGCTGGCGTTTTCATTATTTAGCTATTTGCTGAGAGACGATTATTCTCTTTCTTATATGGGTTAGGTCTACTCAATATGAAAGACCTTGTATAATTGTGTTTAGGAAGTGTAAGTCTTCTTTATTTTCTCCAAAAATACTTATCTTCTCTGAAAATGCTTAGTACCAAATAATTATTTATAATTAAAAATGATGATGCTGTATGCCATTGATTACTATTTTAGTTGAGGGTTTTTTCCTTTTTTATTTCATTTCATTTAAATAATCTTAATTATCCACCCCCTGGGGAAAAAACAAAGATAAATTGCCAAGTGTTTATAAGTTGTCAAAATAAGATTGCTTGACAATACATTTTTTTGGTATATTTCACTTTGGGGTTTACAATGATGCCATTGCTTTAGATAACCATTTCTATTTTTCAATTTATAATGAAATGTCAAAGATCAGAAGATGTTAGGAGATAAATTTCAAAATTATTTGAAAGTGTTCTTTTCTACTTATTCTCTTGCCTCCTTCCGCTGTCACAGCTGGTTTGCTAGTTCACAGTAATTTTCACACTGGAAGGACTCGTGTGTATTCTGGCTCAAGACGATCCTTTTTCTGTCGGATAAAGACCTGTAAAATCTCTGTCAAACAAGAGCATGAACGCTTACCCAACTCAGAGAAGAAAGGTATCATCATTTTAAAATGTCAAGTGATTTGAGGCATGGATATAAAATTAATGTCCTAGATATTTTCTGTACAGAAAAAAATAAATTGTATGGTCAAGGCAAACAATTGAGGCCAACAGCACCTAAGGAAACAAGATGGTTTTTTAACCAGAATTATTTAGACTGGCTTATTATCTCTTTCCAATTTATCAGGTAATTACATATTTTCATTATTGGCCCAGATTTCAATGGTGCTATTGAAATTGCAGTTTGGGGACTATCAAATGGGAAAAAATGGGAAGAGATGGAGATAAAACTTTTGTTACAAAACTCCATTATTACTTTTAAAATATAAAAGTTAGGTCTTTTTTAAAAACTGCGGTAGTACAAGAGCCTGATTAAATTTTGGCGAAAGTTTCTTAAGATGTTCCAGGTGTAGTTTTAATTTTCATGACATTGTGGTTCTTTGGTAAATATTCCTAGTTCTGTTTTCTTGTAATTCTTTTACAGATTTGTCTTACAGATATTTATATTTTGAATTAACACTCATCTATTTTACGTAATTGGGGAATTTCAGGGCTTGCAAAATGTCTCATGACTTTTTTCCTAAGAACATATAACCTATTAGATATAGGATTCCCAATGCAAATTTTAACATGAGACTTGCTTTCACATTTTTTAAAAGCATATTTATATAGAGCTGCAAGATTCAATTTATTTACAAGGTTTGGTCAGAATCTTTTTTGGCAACCACCTAAGTTGATAATCACTAATTCTCACTTATTAAGCACTTACCTGCCAGATACTGTGCTAAATAAGCGTTGTAATCCCCATGAAAACACTCTTCTTATCTCTGTTTTAGAATCGGGGAGGAGAGACTTGGAGAGGTTCAGTAACTTGCAGAAAAGGAAATAGGCAAAACTCAGTCAAACCTAAACCCCTGCTCTTACCTTATACTGTAAAGAAACAAAAGCAGAGCGCATCAGCATTCCTAAGGGAGATCTGTTTGTAAACTATCAATTGCTTCCCTCTTGCCCTTGGCTCTGATGGTGGCGAGCTGTCCAGAGTCACATGTACAGCCTACTCAGGGTTGAAGTCACAGCTGAACTGGTGGTGAAGAAGCTGTGGAATCCACCTGACTGGGATCAAATTTTGAGCTTTACCACTTGCTAGCTATGTGACTGTGAACAAGTGTCTTAACCCCTCTGATCCTCAGTTTCCTTATCTGTAAAACAAGGATATTCACAGGGTTGTATGGTTTTGTGGAGTGGGTAAATGCATAGGTTCTAGAGCCAGACTGTTAAGGTTTGAATCCTAACTTGTGATCATTAACTATGTGACTTAAGATAAATACTAAATCCTTCTGGGTCTCACTCTCCTCAGCTGTAAAATGAGAATAACAGAACCTCCTTCATAGGGCTGTTACCAGGATTAAATGAGTTTAATGCCTGTAATGGGTTTAGCATGGTTCCTAGCATAGTAACACTGGATAACTGTTAGGAGCTGTTACGAATGCTATTAGGAATAAAGCACCTAAACTCTTAGGACAGTGCAGAGCAGCTGGTAAATACCATTGTTGTCATTACCTCAAGGTGCCTGTTCTCTCTGCCTCCCTTCCCAAATCAGTTATACTAGTCTTATCACATTGAGACATGGCCATATAATGTGGAAATAGTCTCCAAGGGCAGCAAGATTCCTTCTGTGTGGTTGGTCCAAGGAGTCGTACTCCAGGTAGACCCTGGACCGTAGTACATTTTACCCTTAGGATTTAACCAGAGGTGAAGCAGATCCAACCATGAGTGAATTACCTCGTCTACACAGCAATCCATGAGAGAAAAACATGGCGGTCGATGCAACTACTTAACATGGCTGAAATCTCTGTGGTGTCTGATTCAAGTTATAAATTGAGGAGAGGCTAGAATTATCAGTTTTGTAAGTGTTTTAAAGATTACCAGATTAATTTGTCTTTCCTTCTGGGACAAGAAGATTTTTCTGCACGGACTTATTTAGTACTAGCATTTTAGTCATCTGTTTGTCTTGGTGCATGGCTAGTGCCCAGTGTAACCATCTTACGTTTGTAAAACCTGATCTCACCCTCTGCCGCCTGCCCTACCAACTTACTCTTTGGTGCTAAACCTTGCAACCCACAGGTTTGATTCTCAACCTTTGTATTCTTCCCCCCCACCACCACCCTAATCTAACTCTTCCTGCCAATTCTTCCAGTCAGCCTTCTGACATGAATAAATTTGTCCAACTCTCTCCATCTCAACTCTGTATCCACATTTGAATTAATTCCTATTCTTGAATTTGAAATTGCTTATCCAGACCAAACTTCTACTCATAGACCCCTTGACAAAACCTCACCCTCCACCCAAACTCACCCATCACAGTTTAAACTCCTCCTACGTGTGCAGTAGAATTTAGGTGTGCTGGAGCAATATATTTTTAAGATATTTTTTTAGACTAATAGTTCTCAGACTTTAGCTTGCACCAGAAGCACCTGGAGGGATTTTAAAACACTAATTGAATATGTCTGGAGTGGGGCCTGAGAATGTGCATTTCTAACAAGTTCCCAGGTGTTGCTGATGCTGCTGATACAGAGAACCCACTTTGAGAACCACTGCTTTAGCCTCTTCTCTCAAGTATGAGATTCTCTGGGAGCACAAGAGGAGGAAAGAGCAAGAGAGTGGAGGAAGAAGGGACGCCCTGGGCTACAGTGCCCAAGACTGGGGCTGAAGTTCTGTTGGTGGAGATTCCTACCCCACCTGCATTTTCCCACAGCTTTTATCATAATCTTGTTTCCAAAAGGGTCTCTACTTACTGGCTATGCTTAAGTAAAGTGATAGAGATAAGTCTGAGATCATTGCTTGACATAGTAGTCTCTAATTAAATATATTTTGGCTGGTCAACGATTTATTGAGTTCTTACCATGTGCCAGGCACTGTACCAAATGCAAAGGATACACAGGAAAGAGGCAGACAGGTCATGGCTCTAGTGCACCTTACATTATAGGGACAGGAGACAGCCGATCAACATGTAAATTAATAAGTGTTTTGGGTAGTGGAAAGTATAATGAAGTCAATAACATGGGATAGTGAGGACAGCGACCAGCAAGAAGTAGTTACTTTAGAATACTCAGAGAAAGTCTCTCTTAGGTGATGTTTGATCTGAGACTTTTTTTTATGAGAAGGAGCTGGCCATGACAAAATTCCTAACAGAAAGATAAGTATAAAGACTTTGAGATAGGAAAAAATTGGTATTTGGAGGACTTAAAGACCAGTGTGACTAGATCCTAGATGCAGAAAATAGTGTTGGGAAGGAAGGCACTTGGGCCAGACCTGTAGGCTGATGTGGGCTGGGTGCAGTGGTTTGCTGGTCAGTGTTTCCCAACCAGCTCTCTGAGTGTAGTTCTGGTAAGAAAGTTGGTTGATATTTTCCTTTACATTAATAAGTAAGATGAAAGCAAAACCATGAAGATTTCAGAACTTCACTCATTTGTCAATGATATGAGTGACTTGTGCTGAATTGCTTAGTTTTTTAATACTGGAAGATTCCTCATTTTTTTTGTGCTACTCACCTTATAACAACTACAGACACACCACACTTTTAAGTTTAATCTTCATTATTAACATTTTGTCCATCACTTTCATGGGTCTAGACAATCAGGAAAAACACAAACAAAAAATATCAAGCCCTGATTTGTAGCTTTGCCAATTACTGTGGTGTAAATAGTCACACTGTGACTAATTTCAAGCTACCAACATGAGGTCACTGATTGTGGAGTAGGGAAAGGATGCACAACAACACACCATTATATGGTACCGTGTTCAAAAAGAACTTTTTTCCAATAAATATTTGTTAACTACACACTATGGGCCAAACACTGTTCTATATGCTGGGCCCAGAGCAATGAACAAAACAAAAACCTTGCTGAGGGTGATAGGTGCTATGAAGAAAAATAAAACAGAATAAGGAGTTAGATTTAGAACCAGACCTTCAAATCACTATTTCACAATATGTTAAAGCAGGGTTTTAAAAGATAATAAAGCAGGGCCGGCCCCGTGGCTTAGCAGTTAAGTGCACGCGCTCCGCTGCTGGCGGCCCGGGTTCGGATCCCGGGTGTGCACCAACGCACCGTTTCTCCAGCCATGCTGAGGCCACGTCCCACATACAGCAACTAGAAGGATGTGCAACTATGATGTACCACTATCTACTGGGGCTTTGGGGAAAAAAAATAAATAAATAAAAAATTAAAAAAAAAAGATAATAAAGCATAATGAATTATATTGCTTTCATTAAAGAATATGTATAATAATTTTTGTGTGTGTGTGTGAGGAAGATTAGCCCTGAGCTAACATCTTTTGCCAATCCTCCTCTTTTTGCTGAGGAAGATTGGCCCTGGGCTAACATTCGTGCCCCTCTTCCTCTAATTTATATGTGGGACGCCTGCCACAGTCTGGCTTGATAAGCAGTGTGTAGGTCTGCGCCCAAGATCCGAACCTGCGAACCCCAGGCTGCCGAAGTGGAGTGCGTTAACTTGGAACCACTATGCGACTGGGCTGGCCGCTATATAATAATTTTTAAGGAACAAAAATGTTTGACCATTCATAAAATTTGTTCTTAAAACATTGTTTTTCATATTTTTCTCTTATATTTTTAATTACAGTTTTGTATTTTATAAAATACATACTATATGAGTATATTAGTATATTAGTACAATAGTAGATGTATATAATTTGTACACATGAAGGGTGCTGAATTTTTTTATAGCATGCAAAATAGTTAATGTTTGAAGACCATTGCATTAGAGGTTAGAGAAATAATGGATGAGTCTCGAGGATGCCCTGAAGAACATCTCTGCTCTTTTACCAGCCCTCTAACCTAATAGGAGGAAGAATGTTTTTGTGTTGTGTTAGGCCCAGTGCATTGCCATCACGGCAGTAGTTATGAAGTACTGAATCAGACACCCTGGGTATTCGCCCCCTGCTTAGCACTTCACATTAATACTGCAGGAAGGCCAA